ACCATATTAGCAACAAAGTTAAGGTAAGGAATTACAGTAAATATCAGTCTAACAATAAGCGTGTTTAATATTAATAATTTAATTAATATAAAAGACAAATAAAAGTATAATTTTATGCCCTGAATTATATCAAATATATTTATAAATTATAACCAACTTTCACTATATTTTTACTGATTAAATCATTTCTTATTCAAAGATATTTATGTACTGTGTAAAAGACATTGTATGTATTTCTTTATATGTGCAGTCTCTTATTTGTTTTTAATTTAAAAAAAATATTTTTTGGAAATATACAAAATGTATTTCAATGAATCAAAATTATGTATACAGTATTCAAAGCATGCGTTTAAATCATCTCACCTTGAAACCGCAACTGGTATGCACTTCTATCAATGCAGGGCTACTACAATCATCGAACATTTCTTCAATTTTTATGCCTTTAACAACGGATGGAATAAGGGCTGTTCGTCGAATGTCCAAACTATCCATAAAACTTATATGAACCTCGCAGCATTCTAATTGAACGCATGGTAATCCGTTTATGATCATATTCACAGGGTTTTTTGATACACAATGAACATAAAGAAGTTCATGCCCATCTAATTCAGAAGCTTTCATCCCATTAATACTGCGAAAACTCGCCATTTTAACTCTTTCTCGACAATCTGTTTCGTATTACATTTCGAATTCAATTTTTCTAATATAAATATCTCGGCGAGTATTTACCCCCCTTTTAATTTAAATAAATGCCACCATTGAAATCCTCACAATATAACCTTTCGAACGGGGGGTCAAGTGCCGTCAAAACATTACACAAACCGAAACAATCATATATTTTATACTCACCGCTTCGCCAAACATTCAAAGGAGAAAATGAGAAAAAGTTGAATATATTCTAAACTTTGGTGTCATTTCCTGAAAGGATATGTGTAAAATACTCTTTGTATTCAAGCGCTTTCGTGTAGAAAGTTTCGTATGTATACGCCGACTAGAAATATTTATTTTGAATTTTTAAAGTATCGGGTTTTACTAGCACGCGCTTGTATTACGTAATACTTGGCCAATAAGGACACAGAATAAAGACATACAGAAGTGTAACTTCCATTACAAAACCGTAAAGCGCTTTTTTACCGAAATAGCTGGCAGCCATGTTCTTAGCAAGGAAGAGAGGCATTCACCCCCCTGGAATGTTAAATTTTCAATATTTTTTCAGGGGGTGACTGCCTCTCTTTAGGGCACTTGCTAAGAACATGGCGGATTGAAAAAATCCACTGATATACACTAAGACTTAGTGTATATCAGTGAAAAAATCCCTTACGCACTTTTAATAAGAAGATACACTTCTGTATGTCTTTATTCTGTGATAAGGAGCTCCCTTTAGCCGGGATGACGTAAAACTCACGCGTGTGGGTGCACTTTGACCTGTAGAATCCATTTCTGGCATTTCCAGAGTCACGCGATGCAAGCGTAGCATTGTTTTGACGGTTTTTCGTCGTATTTCCGGTTGGGATTAACGCATATTCGGAGCAGAAATACAAAATTCGGCACTAAATGTCGAATTTTAAAGATAGAAGCTTGAAAATAACACTATACGTGTTATTTTTAACTTCTAGATCCACCAAGACGATCAGAATGAGCATACGTCTCAATGGAACGAAGTTATATTCGGCGAAAGGTATGTTTATGTTTATAATTTGTCAGTAATATTGCGTAATTTGACCATATACGAGCTCGTTTGACTTTCAAAGCTCATAAATCGCTATAATGTTGCCATTCACTAAATCTATCGATAGGAATGAGTAGCTATCGTTACACTGAATCGAATGGTGGTATTTTGGTCCACGTAGCATTTACCGAACTGAAGATATGAACCGCAAAAATGAGTAAATCATGAGTGATTTGTTTAATAGGGACCTGTCGGGAAAGAGTTTTAAGAGTGTTTTACTTTTAATCTCTCACTTGTGAAGTTGGGTACGCACCGAGCAGCAATCGAACAATGACGGACAAGGCCGAGAAATTGAGTATATATTATAAACCGCCCCGGCGCGCGTTGCATTTCGGGAAGACCCTCATTCCTGCTCTGTGCCCAATTTATATTGCGTTCTCGAACAGAATTATTTACAACTAAACGGCGAATTTAAACCGATACAGGTAAAATAAACTCATTTATAGTATGAACTTACTATTTTTATTTGTATACACGTCTAGAAAATCGGGTTTTTTATCATAAAGTTCGAAGCAACGCTATTATTTAATATGTTGACAAGGTATAGCGAAAGCACAAAATGAGTCAAAATATATACCAAAAGTAGAATCTTTCATGAAATTTTGTCTTATACACAACTACATTAATATATATTTTCTCAATTTTGGAAAGAAGCAGTCTTGTGTTTTTTTGCAAAAATTTTCGAAGTCGTATACGTTAAAATCAACAATTTTTTACATGAATTATATTTTATTCCATACTTTAAATGCCAGGACGCTTTCAATTCATGTCTAGTCTACCCATTTGCTATATTTTCTCGTTTGTTTAACTAATTTTTGACCAATTAATAAGCATGTTTTTGTTTTAGAAATTTATATTCAAATTCCCCGCCATGTTTTCATAATTTGGTGCATGCGCAGACGTTTTTCCGCGGTGTTGCGCCAATCTGAGTACGAAATTTTTTGCAAAACTCGTTGTCTTGAGTACGAAGTTTTCAGAAGTAAAGTAAGTTGATATTTTCTTTCATCTTTGCTCCGTTGCCTTTCCGGTGTATAGTTTTTGAGCGGAAGTGTACACTAAACCGGAAATATTCTGGGTATCCGTGGGACGGGAGTTGCGAGCACAAATTACTCATCGCGTACACATGCTCACTATGATTTATAAACCAATTCCTATATTTTGAGAAGAAAGCGACACCGTACGATTCAGCGTATAAAGAAATTGTACTTACGGATGTCAAGTGTATTACTGAACACCAGTATTCTAGCGATTTATGGCCTTTGAAAATCAAGCGAAATTGTATTGACAAATCGCTCGCAGTATGTATTAATAATGTATTATTTATAACAAATCACTCGCACTACGTTTGTCTTTGTATTTGTAATGTCTAATGGCGCAATAAGGATAAAAATACCACCGTTCGATTCAGCATAAGAAATTGTACTTACGGATGTCAAATGTATTACTATTTAATGTATTTATACACTATTGAAATTTAATACAACGAAATATAGCATTCTACGTCGATAATTTCAATCATAGTTTAATAATTATTTTCGATCTATAGTAATTCACCGTTTCCAGTTTTTTTTATACCTTTACTAAAGCTACAATAAAGCTAAATTTGTAGGAAATAACATTTTTTAGTTATAAAATAGTATAAAAGAAAATCTAACAGTCAATCGCTTTCGATACAAACTTGACCTGCCTTGACCTTGTTTATATTACCGTCGTTGGCAACTAATGATGAACAGACGCTCATAAAAACATTGCTTATTCGCGTGAGAATCTTAAGTTTTCTAATTTTGACATAATAGCTATTTTTCAAACAATATATTGATCTTAAACTTATTGAATCAATATTTTAAGTTTCAGATCAGTTGTACCAAAAGTTATAAGCGGTCGCGCATCATTACCAGGGCACAGGGTCGGTCATACAGAAGCCCAATTTATTGGTTTTTCTTATGGTTTTCCAATGATTTTGGCGTGACCGTAATTCATCATCAAAATGCTGACGTCATGGTCCTGGCTGGTGCGCTTTTGGGAGGCATTTACCCCCCTTATAATATTCAAAATGATAGACGTCCAGCGGGAGGGGGGGGGGGGCGTGCCTCTTTGGTGCGCACTGGTTGGGATGTGGCAGCGTTTACTCTAATTACAGTCTTTCAAAACATGGTTTGGAAACACCGCTAAAGTCTTTGTTCTATCTTTTTGTTTTGCGTTTATGCAGTTTTGTGCACGGTGCACAGTCAATTATGAACACATTGTGTTTCAGTATAATGAACGAATCATCCAACAGTGACGTTTCAATTCAGTCATTCAACCATGTTAGTTAAATGTTAATAAACCTAAAACAAAGGATGTACATGGTTTAAGGTACGGCTCAACGTAAAATCCCAGCTCATTATAACCGCTTTGAAGATTACTGAGTTTCCAGACCATGTTTTGGACTATGCTCTAATCGACCTTCTGTGTATCTTTGTTCAGTGCCAGGGGGTAACTGCTTCTGTTTACTGTACGTGCCGACTGACAAATCATGACAAATAGCACGTACACAGAAAACAATGGAGATGGCCATGATTTCTGTATAGTATTCTGAGTCGTGAGGTTTCATGGTTTTGATGGCATGCAACATGTAAGCACTACGTACCTATTTTTTAGAATATTGCGATGGTATTTTACTGTTTTACCAACCGCTAAGGCCAGTGTGAACGCCTGAGCAGGCGTCTTGTTAATTATGTTATGTCTGGGCGTGTAGTCATGAAAGGCGGGCTTTCCTGCAGGCCCTTAATCCTCCCCCGGAGCCCACCAAAATCCTGCCCGCTGCAAATCAGGCCCCCCATAAATTTGAGGGCCTGCCACGCAGGCTAGTTGTGGCAAGGCAAGCTTGTCAACATTAGTTAAAATAATGCCAATATTTTGTCAAGTCGCTACAAGCTTGTCACTCACAACTTGTTAACAAATTGTTGAATTGCAAGACAATAACAAATTACTGAAACAAGCTTGTAGCCAGGGACGTAGCAACCAGAGAATGTAGGAGGTTGACCCCAAACTGTGAAACTCCAGATGGCAAAAATTGTGAAACGATAACCATTTTTGTAAAATACAGTCAATTTACATCCAATTTGTTTTCAAATTTGTTTTAGAAAATGCCAGAAATGCAGTCCTAGAGTAATTTTTCAAAAATGTAAAAATGTAGAAGCTTTATTATAATTATTATGCTTCAGGTAAATTTTTAACATTGAACAGTTCAAATTTCAGGTAAAATCCTCCAACACCCCCCCCCCAACTTCAGATGCTTCACTACGTCCCAGCTTGTAGCAAGGCAGCAATTTGGTCATAAGTCTGCCGCAGGCTTGTAACAACTTGTGTGTTCTTACATGTGTAATAGACCTTATGCATGATGACATCAGAAGCCTTGATGCCCACGAGGAATGTTGGTCTTAGTAGTCATTGCCCAGGAAAGTTAAACAATTAAAAATGGCCACCATTGAAATTTTCCCAAGCAATGACTACTAAGACCAGCATTCCCCACAGGCATCAAGTCTTGTGATGTCATTGTGCATAAAGTCTATTCATTACCACATTCTAATTTAGTTGATAATATTCTTGCAGCGTAGGAGGGTCAACAGCAAAATAAGAACTTGTAGTTGAGCCATAAATACAAGTTAATTCATTTCGCAAAAGGGCACACACAGAATATATCTTCCCAACAGCACTCAATCCAATTTTCAAATTCTTCTTAAAATCCATAAACTTAAAATAATTAATAATGTCACCAAAAATTGAACTCAAGTTGCCTTTCATCAAGATTAGGATGCTGGAATGGCTTCTGGAGATGCCTTCTTAATGGGTAAGCAGGGTCTCCGTAAATACATAGAGGGTCACCAAGGGGGGTATTACAATGTTGATCCAGTTGGTCAAGAAGGCCGGACATTCTTAACATCCCGGCATCATGTCGTTTTCCTTCTAAAAACAAAAGCACATATATTAAGTATATAAAGTATAAGTACTATAAAATATATAAGTGTATGCAAAAATTATTAAATCCATACACTACAGGGAGTATAAAAAAAAATAAGACAATTTTGAAATTGCTCTCAATTCCACAATTCTGTTCATGAAATGTAATTTTTGCTATATATGGATTGCTTGAGTTCTTAAATTATGGAAAATATAAAAAATTTTGAAAATAGTAAATTTTGCTATCCAGGGGGGTGGTCAACTTTTGCTCCCCTAAAAGTGGCTTGCGCACGGAAATGACAAACGGTATTCTTTATTTGAGTTCATGATTGTATGAAAAGTTCGCTATTTGTTGCATTTATGATAAAGTTTTGGCAGGATTTTACCGAGTACAAATCCTCCGAAAAGCCTATGAAAACGTTACATTTTTCTCTGTTGGTGCTGTTCTTGCTTCATTATGAATTCATTTTTACTCCCATGCATGAGAGTTCCATGGAATTTCCATGGAGCCCCGTACACTTTGAAATGGCGATGCCACAATTTACCCTGCAGCAGAGAGCTTTTGTGGTATCAGAGTTCCTCCGTAGCAACAACATAAACTTGGTTCGCCAAAGTTTCACGAAAGAATATCCAGATGTACGATGCCCTTCGCGTGCGAATACGTGAAGGGCATCGTACATCTGGATATTCGTTCGTGAAACTTTGGCGAACCAAGTTTATGTTAAAATGAATTCATAATGAAGCAAGAACAGCACCAACAGAGAAAAATGTAACGTTTTCATAGGCTTTTCGAAGGATTTGTATTCGGTAAAATCCTGCCGAAATTTAATCATAAATGCAACAAATAGCGAACTTTTCATACATGAACTCAAATAAAGAATACCGTTTGTCATTTCCGTGCGCAAGCCACATTTAGGAGAGCAAAAGTTGACCACCCCCCTGGATAGCAAAATTTACTATTTTCAATTTTTTTATATTTTCCATAATTTAAGAACTCAAGCATTCCATACATATAAAAAATTACATTTCATGAACAGAATTGTGGAATTGAGAGCAATTTCAAAATTGTCTTACTTTTTTTGATACACCCTGTATAAGAATATACTGTATGGTTAGACACTGTAGGAAATAAGTAATGCATTACACTATATTATTTAATATAAAATGTACCTACTGGACCATAAAGATTTGCAATAAGGCCATTAGGTGCCACAACAGATTGAAACTTGATGGCATGGATACGTTTATGGCCATTATACATGACGCGCTGGTTTTCTCCAGGGCGACAGATAGGTCTTACTGTGCCATCGACAAATCCCCAACAGTTCTCCAAAGCGCCACCAGCGTCGTGAACTGCGTTAGCATATTCTTGAAGACGATCAGGATGAAGCCAAGGTTGGTTTAAATCGGTCAAAAGATAACCATGTGTATTATATATATGGTCAGTCACCTCTGAAGCGATCAAACGCAACTCTGAAACAGAGCGACCGAAGCGAGGTATCATGTCACTGAACCTGCAGGGATAAGCAAAACGCCTAAGAGCAACGCAAAGACCTTCCATCCCTGTTGCCACCGTCCGGTTGGGGCAAACAAACTTCTCCGGGATTCTCAAAGCTTCTGCCAAGACAGCTAGATCTGCCAAGTCCACTCTGAAGTCCGATCTGCATTCATCGTTGGTCATGTACTGCAGCTGCATCTTGACTTTTTGGTACTCCCAGTACTGAAATTCCGGTGATTTTGTTTTTGTATTGTCGTATAAAGCTACGAACTCCGATTCATCAATAATATCATTGACAAATAGAGCCGTAGCTGCATCAAAAAGCGAGTTATTGCTGACAGCTATAACAAAACTCGTACTCGTTGTCGCAATTCGTTTGTTTACTGCTAAAGCAACATTTGAACGGAAACGACTACGAGTACGACTTCCTCGTGCCAGGCCGCTAGCGGTCAAATTTCGTACTCGTAGTCGTACTCGTACTCCTTGCTAAAACTCTCTAATATCCCCGAGCCGACGGCGCGAAGCGCCGTGCGAGGGTACTAATTCCCCCCGGCTATTTACACCCGGGGAAACGAAAGCATTAGCGAAGTCTAAAGTTCATCAAATATCGCGGGCGTGAGTCACTGTGCGTGGGGAGTGTATCTAAAAGTCGAGAGTCGAGAATATAGGTCGAGAGTCGAGAGTAAAAGTCGAGAGTCGAGAGTCGAGAGCAAAAAGTCGAGAGTTGAGAGTAAAAAGTCGAGAGTCGAGAGTAAAAAGTCGAGAGTCGATCGAGAGTAAAAAGTCGAGAGTCGGCAAATGTCATCAGAAACAAAGTCAAAATATTTTTATTTTTTAACCACGTTTAACACAATCTATATATATAGCTTTACATAGCCATTCCGTAACAAGTACCAACGGCTGAAATACAAACTTTCCAATAAATATTGCTACAACAGTCAATAATCAGTGGCGGAAATTCACTTTTTCCGGTGGGGGGGGGGGCAAAGCCTCCAAAATTTCCGACAAAACTTTGAAATTTCCGACGTACCCCCCCCCCCATTTGCACTCGAAAAGACTGTTTTTAGCCCACTTTTAGATCAAAATTTCCGAAAATTCGTCAAAAAAATAGGATTCTTTTGTCGTATGTCCGACTCTATCGGGTGGTAATATGTCTCGCACGTGATTGTAAAGTCCTAGTATTTATATGTAGCTTTACATATGAGTAATTTTTCGCGGAAATAGGTGCATGTAAAGCGGGAAGGATGGACAGTAATATATAAGGAAGCGATAAAACTAGTTATTAGATAATAGTTATTTGATTATTGAATGTTGTGGCTAAATTTTTGCGAAAGTTTTTGTTTTATATTGTACTGGATTATTCCTTTGATTGCATGTATATGCCTCTTGTCTACTTTAATTTCGAGAATTTGAGCATACTAAATTATGTTTCGCAAATATTGTTTGCTTTATGTTCCGATACACAGGGAATGAAAGGTTCAGCCGTCATAGGCGTACGGGCGGGAAAAAAACAGGGAGCCAAAAAGAAATTTACCCGACTTCTACCCACTGAATAAAATTTTCCGTGTAACTAAATTTCCAAAATTGTCGTTGGGAAGTAGACAAAAATATTTTCCTATTTGTCGATTCCTCGTTACTTTTACATATTCCTGGTATTTTCAAATACCATATTGCATACACTGTCTTCTTTTTAAATTTATTTCCCCCAATTTTTGGCCGAATTTATTTTGACTGGGGTGCGGGACTGCCTCCCCCCCTCGCCCATACGGCTATAATCAGCCGTTGTTGCGGATCGCTTATATATTGTGTTACTGTAAAAGTATTTTGACTTTGTTGTTTCTGATGACATTTGCCGACTCTCGACTTTTTACTCTCGATTGACTCTCGACTTTTTACTCTCGACTCTCGACTTTTACTCTCGACTCTCGACTTTTACTCTCGACTCTCGACCTTTACTCTCGACTCTCGACCCTCGACTTTTAGATACACTCGTGCGTGGGTGGTCATCCTCACTGATCTCAAAAATATGGCGGACTGTCATGAATAGCGAACACTGTGATTGGTCCAATTTAAAGTTTGCATTATAACGACTGCATGACGACAGCGAAATAGCAAACATTTCTTGATTTGATGATTGATAAATTTATTGCAAATATATTTCATTGTTGCTGGTATTTTTGCAAGATTTTGTAAATTTCAAGAAAGAAAGAATCGGCTATAATGAAGGGAGCCGACGTTAACGAATGTAAGTTTGTTTTAAATATTAATTTTATAATTGCTTTAAAACCCGACGGCCTTTGGCTTTGCGTATATGAAACAACTACACAAGACAGCATATAATTTCATTGTATCTTTAATATATATTGATTCCCTTTTTTATTATATTGAATTTTTTAAATAAATAAAAAAGAAAGCAAAGTTATTTGCATGCGAGAATTTGAAATAATTTTATTGCAAACTCAAAGTTTATCGATAAAGCCATTTAATTAAAGGCAGTTTTATAGTTTTAATTATAAAGAACACTTTAAAACGTTTTGCGAAGCGTTAGTGGTTGAATTTTACCTTAAATTGAAGCTTATATTACGTATAATAATATACATTAAGATATTACTCGACTGTGATTGGTTGATTTCAGTGCAGTTAATCCCAAACAACAGTGCAATTTTCTGTAATCACAGTCACAGAATAGGAAGTTATAGCAGAAGCGTAACTCTAGTCGTTTCCCTTATTGTTTGACGTCCACGAAAATTTTAACTCGCTCACGCCAATCCACGTCATCGTGGCTAGTACAACCGGAAGTTTTTATCAGGTTTTGGTAGGTACAAAGTGCCGGTTGTACTCAGGGGTAAACTTGAGGGGGGGTGTGGGGGGGTGTTGCACCCCCCCAAAATACGATTGGCAGGGCAATCAAAGGTCTCTGGCAGGGCAATCAATTGCCCTTGCAGGGCAATCAATTGCCCTTGCAGGGCAATCAAAAGTCAATTTTTTGGCAAATTGAGTGATTTTTCGAAAATTTGTGTTATGTTCCGAAAAATATAGGTTGTCCGGAAAATTTTTTTGACCCCTAAAATGGTGCACAGACCGAATTATTCCGGAAAAAATTTTTGGGTACTAGCCGGGCAATTTTTGGCAGGGCAATTCTGGTTTTGGCAGGGCAATTCTGCCAGACACCCCCCTAATTAAAAGGGGCTAGTTTCGCCCCTGGTTGTATTAGCCAGGATGGCGTGATTGATGACGAATCGCTTGTAAAAACACGGACAAATACTTGCTTGAGCATAGGCAGCCCACTAAACGACTGAATTTAAATTAAAACTGCAGTGAAATTATAAAATTTAACGAAAATAATGACAAGTTAGCGAAATATATTGCGAAATGTAGCTTATATTAAATCGCCACTCGATTGCATTATCGGCGGACTGACGTAATATAAAGTATACCTAAGGTTGGCAAGAGTTTGAACTGATTGAACTACACACAAAAATATATCCGTCGTATTTTAAAAAGCAGAAAGAAACTAACCCTAAAAACAACCGAGTAAATATAAACAAGGATAATTTTACTAACCTGTCTGTAACTTTTTTTGTCAAAGTAAAGCTTTAAATGTTGATAAATTTACGAAAGTTTACGGTGTTTTGTCGATATTTTTCGCTGTGACTATGCGGGATGCTCGCATCCTGCTACTGGACAAATTTTTCAAAATAAAACTCAGCTGTTCATTGGCTGTAGCCGGTTTCGTGTTTTCGTTGCTTACGACGAAACCGGCTACAGCCAATGAACAGCTGAGTTTTATTTTGAAAAATTTGTCCAGTAGCAGGATGCGAGCATCCCGCATAGTCACAGCGAAAAATATCGACAAAACACCGTAAACTTTCGTAAATTTATCAACATTTAAAGCTTTACTTTGACAAAAAAAAGTTACAGACAGGTTAGTAAAATTATCCTTGTTTATATTTACTCGGTTGTTTTTAGGGCTAGTTTCTTTCTGCTTTTTATAATACGACGGATACATTTTTATGTGTGGTTCAATCAGTTCAAACCCTTGCCAACCTTAGGTATACTTTCAGTATATTACGTCAGTCCGTCGATAATGCAATCGAGTGGCGATTTAATATAAGCTACATTTCGCAATATATTTCGCTAACTTGTCATTATTTTCGTTAAATTTATAATTTCACTGCAGTTTTCATTTAAATTCAGTCGTTTAGTGGGCTGCCTATGGCTTGAGTTACGCTTCTGCTATACCTTCCTATTCTGTGTCACAGTGCAATTTTTTGTAACCACAGTGCAAAAATCTGTAACAAACTGATCTGATTGGTGGAAAAACATTGTGATGATTAAATCAACCAATCAGTTTAAAGCAATTTAGTTTAAAGAAGTAACGGTCACAGATTGCTTCAAAACAAAACAAACATGGCGCCGCGCTACACAAAATAAAAGTTGCCTTTGCGTGGAAAATATGGCTTTTATCTTTATTTTTAAATGGAAAAGCATTTACCTTAAACAAGACTAACAAAAATTACATAGTTGAGTGGAATTTTCAAGCTGTTAGCGTTGTGTAATGTGATATAACAAAGCCAGGAAATCTTTGCCGGTGGAATGTTCGCTATAAACGCGTAAGTTAAAACTACAATTGTCTCGAACATTTTTATGTAAATTATTAATAAGTAATAGCATGGTTTCTCGTGAAATTTGGATAAACATGCACTCGTGAGTTTTTCAAAGACCTCAAATAGCACTCGTCCTTCGGACTCGTGCTATTTTGAGGTCTTTGAAAAACTCACTCGTGCTTAAACAAGACTAACAAAAATTACATAGTTGAGTGGAATTTTCAAGCTGTTAGCGTTGTATAATGTGATATAATTTGGCCAGGAAAACTTTGCCAGTGGAATGTTCGCCTCGATGTTCGCTATAAACGCGTAAGTTAAAACTACAATTGTCTCGAACATTTTTATGTAAATTATTAATAAGTAATAGCATGGTTTCTCGTGAAATTTGGATAAACATGCACTCGTGAGTTTTTCAAAGACCTCAAATAGCACTCGTCCTTCGGACTCGTGCTATTTTGAGGTCTTTGAAAAACTCACTCGTGCATGTTATATCCAAATTGCACTCGAAACCATGCTATTACCTATACCTAATATTATACCTAACATATTTATATTAGGCGATTTTTCATTTGTAAGAATATTCTTAAAAATTATCGTGTTACCATAACAACTACTTTAGATACTTCATGTTCGGAAAATATAATGGTTTTGTCAACAAGGCGAGGGTTTCTGCATGCATGTATTTTCTAGTAATTTATTACACACACCATATCTGGGTGTTGAAAGTCATGTGACCGGCCGGTGCCAGGGCCTTTTCCCGCCTTCCCAATGACAAAAATGGAAAAGCCCTGGGAACGAGGTTGGGACTTGGGGACCATTAACTAGTAGGTGGGAATTGGGGACCATTAATAGGTGGGAATTGGGGATCGTTAGTAGGTATAATTGGGGACCATTAGTATATGGGACTTGGGGACCATTAATTAGTAAGTGGGACAGGGGGGACATTAGTAGGTGGGACATGGGGACCATTATTGGGGGGGGGGGACTTGGAGGACCATGCATTAAGTCTAGGTGGAACTTGGGGAGTGTTAGTTGGTGGGATATGGGGACCATTAATTAGTAGGTGGGACTTGGGGAACTAATGTAGGTGGGACATGAGGACCATTATTACCATTATTGGGTGGGACTTGGGGGACCATTAGTAGGTGGAACTTGGGGAATGTTAGTTGGTGGGACTTGGGCAGTGTTAGTAGGTGGAACTTGGGGAGTGTTAGTTGGTGGAACGTGGGGAGTGTTAGTAGGTGGAACTTGGGGAGTGTTAGTTGGTGGGACTTGGGGACCATTAATTAGTAGGTGGGACTTGGGGGCTGTTAGTTAGTAGGTGGGATTTGGGAACTGTTAATTAGTAGGTTACTAGGAGTTGGGAATTGTTAGTAGGTCGGAATTGGGGACCACTAGCAGGTGGGACTGGGACATGGGGGACAGATAGTAGGTGGACCTTAAGGTGGCTCGATACAGTTTTCAAAAATTCAGGTGTTTAACACTTTGACATGTTCAAACTACGCATTTTTAGGATTTATTCAGCAGATATTGTGTGTTTTATATATTTTGATAACTCTACTTTCAAATTATATTCGTTTTAGTAACAGATAGTTCGTTGCTATGACGACATACGTATACGAAATTGACTCCAAAATGGCCTATCGTCTCGTATAGTTGGAAAAAAAGCATGGTGACCTCCAATTTTTTTTCGTGCATTATTGTACTTGGACGAAAAGCTAACAATTAGCAAAATATAAAAAATTTCTGTAATGCCATTTTTTTGGAAAATGCGAAAATGTCATATTCTTTGGTAACATTTTTTTGGCATTACAGATTTTTTTTATTTTTTGTATAATGAAAATTTTTAGCGGTGCAATACAGCATGCAAAATTTGAACATAGGTCACCAGACAAAATAAAGAGATATAGCGCATTGTTTTTCTAAAATGGAAAATTCTAATGACGTCAGCAATTGACATAAAACGCTATAGAACACGCGCAATGGCGTGAGATGGCGCGAGCAACTGCTCACGTCAGGTCATTTTGGAAGTTCTTTCATTTTGTTAATCAGTTTCCGCGACCTGCGCGTAAAAATGGTCAACCGGTTTTGAGTTCGCGATTCTTGAACAGGGTTTTTGTGATAACTATATCGAGCCACCTTAAGGACCATTAGTAGGCGAGACATTGGAACCGTTAGTAGGTGGAACTTGCAGGACTGTTAGTAGAAAGAACAGATTCTAGACCAACGTCAGAAACGTCCGTTTGCAATACAAATCACGGTCAAAGACTCAAAGTCTATATAGGTATAACATAATATTGCTGCAGAGCAATGTAATTGTTTAAAGAATCAGAGTCAACCGTGATGCTTTGCGCGCTAAAATGTTTTGATTGTCTTGTATTCCGCCATTTTATTAGGCCCGGTTTAGACGCCGTGCTTTTCATGAGCCGAACTTAATTCATATTTTACTCGAGTAAAATAGGCGTACTTCGAATTTTGATTTAGACAGGCGTGCTTTTCATGAGCCGTACTTAATAATTTGCGCTGCTTCACTTCGAAACCTAGGGCGAGTGACATTTCATAATAAGAAAAAAGGGTTTATCACATACAATCTTGGCATTTCTGAGCGTCTACAGGTTTTTGAACTGCTTTTTGAAAAGTCTTATTACTACAAACGTAGGATAATGCCTGGATATAATGTGTGGGAAAACGAGACCTGTACTCTATAGGCTTAGGGCGAGTTTTTCCACGTTATTCGAGTTCTCCCAAACTACTACAAGTGTTTCTATAACTGTATGGGACACACATAATAAATGTTTTATATTTATTTCATAATATAACTAAAAAAAGACTTTGTAGCAGACTCGATATATTTACAAATTCTCATTACGTAATAATGCCGACCTTTGCTCCATCAATTTCACTGCAAGAAACTCTTTTTGCCTTTATCAGCAAATATCGCTATAAGCCTAATTTCGCAACTTTTATGCAAAGAATCTAACGAAAGGTGTATCCTTTGCTACAACTTGACGTATATAAAGAAAAGAAAGGGAAATTCAACCGCGATATTTGCCGATAAAGCGGTATTAAATCACTACAGAAAAATTACAGAAATACAAAACAAGCTACAGAAGCGGAAGTGGGAAGGTTTTTGTATTTTGACTGAAACAGTTTATACAAAATGAACTGAGTCGGTAAAATTCTTTTTAAAGTTTCTTAATTTGCATTAAAATTATTTTGTTTACGATTGTAAGTTTTGGCGGGAAATTTCCCGTGTAGAAACACGCTTCTCGACCAATCAACGCTCGCGTACTATAAATGTTCTATTTTATCATAATTTATGCATTTGGTACGGCTCATGTAAAGCACGGCAGTATAAATCAACATGCGAACTTATTAATTTAGCCGTGCTTAATATTAAGTGCAGTCAGCCTAGTCCCAGGCTCTCTCTATTCGCTGCTTTGATATATTTAAATAAGTCTTAAACGTTTTATGCCTGGGTGTGCTGTGCGGAACGCTTCAGCGAGAGAGCCTAGCAGATATCGGTAAAATGGTCCCTGATTTAAAAAAAGTGGTCCCTGGCCTGGTTACCAAGCATACCTCATTTGTAAATGGAAAATGTTATGGAAATTTCCTTTGCATTTCTAATTAAGTCATTAGTTTTGCTCTAATGCTGTCGGAACAATGAAGTTGGCTACGTTTCGCTGCCATATGGTTAGAATGGAATAACGGGCTAAATATGACTCGTGTTTACTAAAATATATAGCCATATTAAATGCTATCTAGAAGCATGAAAATTATGCCGAGTCTCCGACTAAGAATGTTTTGACAACACCGTCATGTCAGGCAAATATTTCCAATCTCCTCAGCAATTTAAATCTGTCAAGTAGAAAGCGTAGTTGTGTATACCAGTATGGTCTAGTGTTGATCACAACTTGCGAGTACATAAATAACATCAACGATTGCTCAAACTCGGTATCGTAAATTTGTATATAAATTTTTTTAGTTGAGCACATTTTTAATACAGTTTGATTTGGTTATGTAGACATCGAACATGTACATGATGAACGAGCATTGCCGTATTTATAATTAAAAGGTTACTTGTATATATACATTTTCCGCCATATTAAAAATACTGAAATCTGCTAGGCGTTCTGAAGCACCTTGAGCGGTGACGTCACACCTAGGTCCCAGTCTCGTCATGTGGTACATCCACTTTTTTCTCGCGCTTGCTTCAGAACGACTGGGACTAGGCTGAAGTGCAGTGCTTAATTGATTTAGACGCCGTGCTTCTCATGTGCTTAATTTAATTCATTGTATTAAGTTCGGCTCATGAAAAGCACGGCGTCTAAACCGGGCCGTAGCCACTTTAGTGACGAAAGATTGACATCCGAAGCGTATCCTTATCAATATTATTCGATATTATTAACAATCACTCGCCAGATTCACATGGTTTTGCTGATGACACTCAGTTGTATGTGTCATTCAAACCTGACTACCCATGCCATCAATGTGAAGCGATCTCGGTAATGGAAAGCTGTACGTGTCAACGAAATGCGGATAGTAATGGATGATTCAAGATAAATTGAAACTAAATGACGGTGAAACTGAACTGCTAATAATTGGATCTAAGCAGCAACTGCAGAAACTTAGGCCATGTACAGTACGTGTCGGGAATACTGATGTCCTTCCTGTACCAATAGCTCGTGATATAGGAGTTTGGCTCAATTCAAATTTATCAATGTCAATATGTTATGTCATATAACAAAGTCATGTGGTGCCGTGTATTCTATTGGCTTCACAACATCAAACGCATCAGCAAGTTTTTATCTCGGGAAAATCTGTTGACTGTTATACATGCCTTTGTTACAAGTCGAATGGATTATTGTAATGGTCTCCTGTATGGTTTACCTAATACTGAATTGATTAAATTAGAGAGGGTTCAGAACGCCGCTGCCAGATTAGTGACTTCAACACGAAAATATGATGATTATGATCACATTACGCCTATCTTACGTGAACTACACTGGTTACCTGTGAAGTTCAGGATCCATTTTAAACTGCTAGTGCTTACTTTTAAAGCTTTAGGCGCCAGTCATTAGTTACAGGGGAGAGGGGGGGAAATGAAAAATTAGATGCTAAAATTTTTGTGCGCCCCCTTGAGGGATAACACAATTACACTTATTCCCCACACACACACACACACACACACACACACACACACATGCAAATAACAAAAGGTACAGTAATATTCGTAATTTAAAGTTCTTTTTCATAATTCATTTTCGTAATTTAAAGTTCTTTAATTAAAGTTCTTTAATCATACTACCCTAACATAGTTGCCAACTTTGGGAACAAAACATCCGTGAGATTTTGCGAAAATTTTTGAAAATATGGAGTGTCCCTAGCTAGATCGTTCGAAATGGCATTTTCAGAGTCTTCTAAACCTTATACACACAACTTTTGGTAGCTTTTATTTGGATATACAAAACCATATTGTTGAATACCCACGAGTATGAGGTTGCATGAAGTGTTGGCCACTATGCCCTATATACAATTATACATGTATCGTAACTATATTCTTTACCATTTATTGAGTCAACGGCTGTTCCAATGTGCATATTATTGTTTACTTGAAATCAGTTTAATAAACGGTATTGAGTTTACTACATTAATAATGTTCTACTGTTCTCTATTTTTTGTCTGTAGGTTTTATGGTACTACGGGGTCATGCAATGCAGGTATTTATCCTGCACAAAAATTTTTGGCTCCCCTTTTTTCATGCACAAAAATATCTGACCCCACTCTTTTTCCACCAGCCCACATGCAGGGCTGGTGGAAAAAGCCCCTCCCTGTAACTAATGACCAGTCCCTTACATGGAATGGCTCCAAAGTACATGGTAGACCTACTTGTTGTCAAAGTGGAAGGAAACTACCTTTTACACTCTAATGATAGCATAATGCTATAGTTTCATAAGGGTAAATTTTTACCATCATTTGGGGACCAATCTTTCACTGTGGCAGCTCCGAAACTTTTGACTTTGCAAACTTTGCAAATAACTTTGCAAAATATGCCGTAAGATATATAGCCCTGGTAGGCAAAACAAACACTTGGTACCCATTTCCTTCGCCAAGCTTTCTGAACTGACTATTGTCAAACAATAGAGAGACAAAGGATTTTTCAACCGCGACCCTGCACAAGGTACACAATCACCTAAAACAAAGGGTTTCCAAACCATGTCATATATATTAACTATGCTTTCGCTCAACATATAACTTCGGCCACCTTACCGGGATAATGTGACTCGAATCTGTTTCCGACGTTTCCCGAGTGCTAGGATAGCATTAGGGACCGGTCATTATTTATGGAAGGGGGGAGGGAAAAATGGGGGATATGTATAACAATGACCAGAAGTGGGGCTATTAATTTTGGAAATAGGGGGGCTGTACCGAACTCTCAAGGAATTTGCTAATAAGCCTGGTATCCATTTGGTTGCATACAAATGTAGCGACTAAATCATGGTCACTGATCTGAAACAGTCGGGATTAATCTTGTCTTTTGTGTGCTATATGCAAATCAGTTTTTACCGATTGCAGAGATAAATTGACAATGTATTATTACATCAGCTATCTTGACATGGTTACAATTGCCCAGACCTAATGGAAACCTGATTTTAGTGTTATATATAAAAATACACCTCTTTTAATTATAATTGTCTGCTAATATATATTTTTGATCGACGTTAATATCTTATCAGTCCCATATTATTATTTAATGATTAACCACACTATATCGTCTGGGAATCTCCATTTGACGAGTAAAAATGAAAATGAGGGGGTCAAAGAAAAATATTCTAATATGCAGGTGGTCACCACTAAATTTCTGCTCTTTTAAGGGGAGGGGGCTTTCAATTTTAAAAATTTGGAAAAAAGAAAAAATTCCGCCCCCCCCCCTTCCATAAATAATGAGTGGCTAATGGAGCTAAACCTAAGGAAAACCTAAATTATGATTAGTTTGAAAAAAGGAAAACAAAAAAAGCGAAACCAATTTTCACACTAGGAAATGAAAAGATATCCGTTGTACAGGAATACGGTTACCTAGACATAAAGCTTAATCACAATGGTAATTTTTCCTTGGCTATCAAACAGCTGAGTGAAAAAGCCCTGCATTCGCTCTATATAGCATCAGAAGACGGCTCAACCTACACCAACTTAACCCCAAATCTGCTATTAAATAGATATCCCATTCTTCTGTACAATGCAGAAGTTTGGGGTGTATATATCAAAAACGATTTTAACAATTGGGATAATTATACTGCCGGTTGAAAAAGTGCACCTAAAATTCTGTAAGCTCTACTTGGGCTTTGGCAGAAAGACGAGTAATATCGCCTCAAGAAGCGAACTTGGAAAATATTCATTAATTATCAATGTATTCAAAAGAATCTTCAAGTACGTCACTCATCTTAACTCACTTCCTGAAACAACCATTTCAAAACAAGCTTTCCTCATATCAAAAGATTTATTTATTAAAAAGAGCAATTCTTTCTATGGAAAAGCAATGGATATAGTGAAAATCTTAAATTGTAATAGAGCAATCCCAGACCCAGATTCACTCACAACCAATCTAGTTGAATCACGCGTTAAAGATACTAAAGAAAACTACCAGAGATTCTGGAGACATAAACTTGAAAACTCTTCCAAACTTACCTTTCTACACAAGCATAAATGAAGACTATGAGCTTGAAACTTATTTGACTACCATAACTAATTCAAACCAAAGAAAACGTTTAACACAGCTCCGACAAAGTAACCATAAATTAATGATTGAACTCGGTAGATACGAAAACATTCCGCGAGAAGACCGAATATGCAAAATCTGCCAGGCAGGAAAAATTGAAACGGAACATCACTTCCTAACATACTGTGAAGCCTATAGTAGTCTTCGAGAAAACTTTTTAAATGAGTTGGAAAGTGATCCCATGCACCAATGAAACAGATTTAAACGAACACAGTTTATCACTTGAGATAATGAAATTAACTGATAAAGAAACCGTGATAAAATTATCAAAATTTATCTCTTTGTGTTTTGAGAAGAGATCTAAACGCCTTGAAGCTCGGAATGCTGACAGTCAATAGGCTATCGAACTAACTCCCAAACTTCTTCAATTACATATTTTCTGTAAATAGAATATTCATTTGTTAACTATGTCTTTCTTTATATCAATAACTTCATTTTTATTTCTTGTATTACTCAGTGTCATATTACCACAAAACATTTTGCATTTGTAAATATTTATAATTAACTAATAAGCTTTAGCAATACTTGTATGTGAAGTCATGCTAATAAAGCCATTTGTTACTGTAGCCAAAAAACGAATTAATATCGCTCGTGCAAGAAAGCTCGCTATTGATCGCTATAGTGTTTACAGTAGTTTTCGAAAGCATGCACTGCCTCAGAATTTATTAATTTATTGGTCAATATTAATATTCGTGTGGCACATGATACCACATAGCTATTGAATATAGGTTTAATTTACAATTTCTCCCGAATCACACCAGGAGCTTAGTCCTCGCGCAAACGTGCGTATAATTTATGGATCACATTTTGCAATACCGAAAAATGAGTGCAGTCCTAGGATATAAACATAATGCAGTGTCGTACTCGCAGGTAAATGATTTTCAACTACTTGACAAGAAACGAGCAATTACTGCGGGAATAAAACATGGAAACTGGTGAACTCACTGCCTTTCTTGCCGAGTTGGTTTGCAAACAAAATCCGGTAGTTGCTATGGATCCCGATATAAAGAGAATCAATGTTGCCGTAGCAACAGCAATGAGGTATTCACGAAAAATTACATTTGTACATGGAGACAGTTCGAATAAATTCCCCCATTTTTTAACGAACAATATTACGACGTGTACTTTAGCAGCTTTGTTCTTCAGTGGTTGAATGCTGATGAAAAGGAAAAATTTATTCGCACCGCGTTCAAAATCATAAAACCTGTCAGCAAAATCGTATCGAATCGAGAACATGCCCTACACGAATTGCTTCTTGTGTGTAAACAAAGGATCTTAAGACAAAGGGAACATAACTTTATTTTACCTCAAATTAAAACGGAGCGATTTAAACGATCGTTTATAAATAGATGTCTTCTTAACTATTTTTAACTTTTATATAATTAATTAAGATAGATCAATTTTTTTAACTGTAACAAATAGGAATTTGACATTTGTAAAGTTGCACGTCTGTTGTGACTCTAGACAATAGAGACTTTAATAATAATAAATAATAAAAAAACCTGGGGGAAAGGTCGTCATTCAAAGCTACGAGGAAGACCCGGCAATTGTCAGACAGGCTGCAAATATATTTCTCAACAATACTGACAATAAAATAGCAAAGGTTCCAACTTATTTTGTGAATAAGTCAATAATTGAAATACTACTAACAAAAGCAGGTTTTTCACTTCTTCATAGTGAGTATTATCGTAGAACTGTCACCCTCTTCGATCCAACAATTTTCCACATCGTCGGGGAAAAGGCTGAACCTCTCCAGTCTAACGTTTAGCGCCTAAAGGATTTCTGACACTAATTTACCTAAAGTGCATGCATGCCCGCAACAAATAATTCAATTTCCGGTTTCTGTGATTTCCAATTTCAGTGATCAAGCCCCTGTCGTACGGCAGCTTGCTTTGCATAGTTATTAATATAATTTTAGTCAATTTACTCGATTCTGATTGGTTAAACACCGTGCCGATTAAATATTAATCGGCCCAGTAGCACTGTTCCGATTGAAGATTAATCGGCACGAATAGAAGCCCGCGCGCATATCAACGCAAAATCTTAAGTAAGCAACGTGAAAATTTATATTTTCTGAGCTCTTATCTTGTAATGAGCTCCCTAATATATTTAAATAATAAAGAAAAAGAAGAAATAAAGATTTCACAGTTTTCACAGGTATTAATTGAAAATTAACGTCAGGAATTATACTCTAGCTCAAAATTGTATGACACATCAAATGAAGAGCTGATCTTCAGCTAGTTTACCAACAGCTCCTCAGCACTGAGACTGCTCCTAATACCATGAAGACATTGAAGAGTAAACAATATGAACATATTATTCCCTTTCTCCATTTTGACGTTAAGAACATAAATTCATATTTCATTTATAATTCATTTGCGTACGTTACTTTTATAAAACAATGACATTTTTCCAGACCAATCACTAGTGGAAAAAGTGCCTACTAAATATTAAAATAGGAAAATCGAAATATATTCCGGGTGGGGGTGGGGGAATTGGTCAGGGCCTCCATCTATCCAAATCACCCTAGCCTCCTTGAGGTAGCCAGTCCGCCCCTGGGAGTCAGAGATGAAGAATTACACTGATTATCTTAGTGTAGCATATGACCTCTATTTCTTCTATCTTTTTTTGTAGCAATAAAGCAATAAGAATTAAAATATAATATAACTTTTGAGTAGTTGTAAATATAATTATTAGAGGAGGGAGGGGACCTAATCCCTGTTTCCCAATTTTGAACTTTATGCACTTTCAGAATTTAATTTTCTTCAGTTTTCCTTCATTTTATTCGAAAATTTCTTTCAAACGAAAATGTCCAGCAAATTGAAAGCACTGATTTCAACGCTACTTCCAATCTTCCATGCAATTTTTTCGTAAAGTTCCTTAAATTTTCCCCGTAGTTAGGGCAATGCATGTGTGGGTCATGATGTAATGGATTGCACGTAATGGATTGCAATGGATATTTTTGGATATAGGCTCTGGTGTCCAGTGCTAGCTTGGGGCCGGTAGGCCAACGAAAATAAAACAAAAAAACAGTGCCGAATTTATAAGTCGTTGCGCAATATTTAAATTATAACAGAATATTGACGGCCAAAACAAATTTCATGACAGGTTATTTTGCGTAGTAGACTAGTAGTTATACTTATAAGTAACTAATCGCACACTACGAAAATTCAATCTGTTACTCTCGACGAAGCGTACGAGAGAACGTATGTGAATTGGGTGAAGATTCTTTCTTCTGGTCACGTGGATTTTCTCCAGATTTGGGGAAAGGCCTCTGATTAGACAGTGCTTTATTTGAATAATATATGACAAATGAAGATATCTCATTGGTTAATTGATAATTAGCATGCGTTTAAAATAACAACAGTTACACATTTTAAAGTGTATATGACATGAAATTTCTTATTTTCTTAAATGAAAGTACTCTTTAAGTTTCTATGTTGTAGTACTTTCTTGTTTTTATGGTTTTTTCCCGAGATATTTCAATTTGTTTGATATGTAAATGAGTGTGAATATGATGCTGTGTGATGTTACTCTGAGTGTGTATCCAACACCGGGCAGGCTTGAGAATATGCCTGGCCATGGTGGGATAGCCTGCCCGGTGTGGATACACACTCAGAGTAACATCACACATGATATTCACCTGAGTACATTATACTTATTCACCTGAGTAAATTATACCAACACAGCAAATATCATGAGTGTGAATATGTCCGCTAATTTATGACGTCATGTTGGTTGCAAGCTCAACTTACACTGGTTATAAATATATTAACTCTAAAAACTGTTGATATCAGTTCACTTTTTCTCCAGTGTTTCATCACATTTTCCAGTGAGTGAAGTTTGAAATTATCATCTTGGAAGAGCTTGCAACCAACATGACGTCATAAATTAGCGGACATGTTCACACTCATTTACATATCAAACAAATTGAAATATCTCGGGAACAAACCATAAAAACAAGAAACTGAAAAATAAGTTGCACTACAGCTTGAAGAGTTCTTTCATTTAACAAAATAAGAAATTTCATGTCATATACACTTTAAATTCAGAGATTTCATCAAGAATCAAATTTTCTTCGGGGCATACAAAGGTTTGAAAGACTTGAAATATAATCTGTTGAGTTTAATTTTGTGCTGTATTGAAGTTAGGAAAATCAAGATAAAATTCTATTGTTTGGACACTCAGCAAAACAATGCTGATAAATATATAAAATACGACAAACTATCGGACGGAAATCGACAATTATAATATAATTGCAATTAAATGACACTCTGTTTATTTGTCCCGACCCCAATAGACAAAGCATTTTCTTTAATGTGTTTAACTTCGTCTTACTTGGCCAGTTAACTTTTAATTTAATACTTTAAAATGCACCTTCTGAATAACTAGTTGTGTTTATATTTAATTCTTTGTCTTTGTAAACAACTATACGCCACATGTACGCCAAGAACTGAACTTGTACACCGGACTTGCCAGCTATAATCGTCGTTCAGCATTGTTCGCATTCAAAACAAATCTCTTCATCGAGAAATATATGCAATATATTTCTGGTGCATCGATTTCAGATTATATTTCAAGTCTTTCAAACCTTTGTATGCCCCGAAGGAAATCTTTGATTCTTGGGGAAATCTCCGAATTTAAAATTGTGTTGTTATTTTAAACGCATGCTAATTATCAATTAACCAATGAAATTTTTTCATTTGTCATATATTATTCAAATAAAGCACTGTCCAATCAGAGGCCTTTCCCCAAATCTGGGGAATATCCACGTGACCAAAACAAGGGATCTTCATCCAACTCACAGACGTTCTTTCGCGTTTTCGTCGAGAGTAACGTCTCATGACAGTGTACACATGAGGCTAAGTATTTCGAATTCCGACCTGGCTCTGTGTTTTCCATATTTTACCTCACGTCAGACTCCGTGATTC